CCCCCAGAGATTCTGACTCAGTTAAACTGGGGTGGGACCTAGGCATCAAACTTTTATCAAAGCTTCTCAGAGGACTCTAATGTGAACCAGAATTACAAATCACTGTTAGAATAATCAGTTTGAAGTGAAAGGTATGGAGCTGCTGAATGGTAAATGCCTACCATAGCTCCTGGGGAATGTGAAGGCCAACAGCAAATAGGAGATGCTGTCTTAGAAAGCTTAGTAAACAAAGAGAAGTTAAGTAACTTTCGCAGGGAGACACAGCTTGGAAATGTTTAGGCTGGGAGTCAAACCTCATCTGCCTGAACTCCAAAGCCTTGACAGTCTTCACTCTACCACGTTACCTAGGGGTCAGTATTTTAGCTCAGAAGATACAAAGAGATATCATGGAAAGAAACCCAAAATTCCCCAAATGAGATTCTAATAGGTCACAGTGGGAAGAGGCAACATATCTCTGGAATGATTCCAATATTTACCTCTTTATCTACCCCTCTTTTATTCCCCTTGACCTTTCTAGCAGCTTTGTTTCCTTTCTGTAGTTGCTACCATCTCTCCAGGAAGTAGACGCACTACATGAAAAAGAGACAACATTGTGGGCTGCCCTCATGGATGCCAGCTGGCCTCAATGCTCCCCTTTCCCAAGTACTGTTCTTTGGGGTCTCCTTTCTAGGGAGGGAGGAAGGAACAGGATACAGTGCTGCAGTCAAAACCAAGCATTTTGTCTCCCCCTACTGCTACCTCTTAACATACCAGCAGCTCTATATAATGAAAATCTAAATCGTTTGTGTGCACACATAGCAACTGTTTATTTTGCTGTTAGCTTTGAGAACTCAGTGGGGGTTCGATGCATTCAGAGAAGAGATCAACACTGGGAGAGCCTAAACTCATAAGTAGACAAAATGAAAATTAAAACTGAAAACTACAACTGAAAGAGAGGCCAGTAATAAATATCTGAAGCTCAGGAAATGCTTTTAAACCAAGGACATGGAGTGGAGATGACTCCTTGAAAGGGCCATGCTTCCTGTCTGCTGAGAAAGCTTTACTGGGCCTGGTAAGAGATTGATTGTGTACTCTAGAAACAGCACACCTTTCCCCTTAAACCACCAGGTGCAATGCCTTCCGTCTTTTACAAAATGCATTCCCTATTTTCTTGAAACTTCCTTTTCTTTTTCCCCCACCAACAGGCTGCCTTGGGACCAAATACCATCCTGCAGTTTCTCCACATTAGTACTTCTACCAAAAGTGAAAGCCAGACTGAAGAAAGTCTTTATCACATTTTGAAGGGGCCAGGCCCTCCCTCTTAGTATACTGTGTTTGACGGTTTATAAAGCCTGTGCTTCTTCGCAGCTTCCTTATCCCCTCATCTACCCAGGGTTTCCTCTCATCCAACAAAAAACTTATATTGCCACCAATTCTTACAGAAGCCAAAACCCCTTTTCCAGAGGTCAGAGCCTTTCCATCTTTGTTTCCTTTGTTTCCTTTCCATCTTGGCAAAGTAGGATCCCAGTGCCTGGAATCCTCAGTCACTACAAGTGAATGGAGGGAGCTACTCCCCTGGGAGCAGGGATAATGAGGGACATTAGGGAGAAGACATTGACTAAGACATACCTGAGTGACTAAACACTTGCAGTATACCAAGATGTAGAAACTATAACCATACAGACATCAAGGTATGTTAATTGAGCAATTACTGCCACTATGGCATTCTTTCCTAAAAGAATGTCCTGCTGAATGGGCTCTTGTGAAATAATCAGATTGTGAGCTTGTCCAGATGAATAGCATCCCACCTGTCACCACCTCCTGCCAAAAGATCTAAGTGTTTCCAGTAAAGGACCTGTGGTACATCACTCCATCTGTGTACACAGGTGGGAAGCATGGCAGCCAGCCAGGCATGGGACAAATCACAGTCTCTAAGGTCCTCATTTGATTCATTTGGACCTCCACCTGACCCATGATCTCTCCTTCCTCTCTGTTCAACAGTAGCCAGAGAAGGTAGGCTTAGCTTTCAAGAGTCTACTCCAGGCCACAGGGGGGGAAAACAGGCTAGTCAGACATATGCAAAAATAAGGCTTGGCAGCAAAGAAAACAGACACAGGCAGAAAGGAATTTAAATTCAAATTGAACAAGGGGCTGAATCCCTCTTTCACTATAAGCCCCTAAAGGTCTGGTTTCCTCAAAGAAAAAAAATCCCTTTTAAATATTATCCCCTTCCCCTAGAAAAGGAGAGGAAGCATTCCAACTAGCTAGTACTTTATACAAGGTGACAGTCATTTAAAAGGGTTCTTTGGAATTAATTCCCTCCTGTTCAGTCTCCTCTTTAGGGTGTAACTACTTCCCAGTGTTACTGTTCCCAGTTCGAGTGTCTGGACCATGTAGGCTTCCTGAACTCTAAAAAGCACAGGGTTCCTGAAGAACAACGTATAAGGGAATGATCGTGTCAAGGGCCAAGTACACTCACTGAGCTGTTATTTTCCATTTGCTCCTCCCACCCCCAAAGTCCATTCTGTGCTCTTATTATTTGCCATGTTCTGTACCAAAGTTGACCTCAACAGATTGTAGCAACAGGGTTCTTTGCTAGCTGGCATCTGGCTAGGTCTCACTAATGGTGGGCACTGGCAGGAGATCAGAGTGTCAAGAGAGTGAGATTTTATGCCCCTCTCCCCTCGTCCCACCAGCTATGTTGCATTTAAGCAGAGTCCACATTATGCTACCTCAAGTCGCAGCTCTTATCAGGCAGCTCCCCTCTTGCACCAGAATAGCTCTTGCTGGGTTCCAACAGTTTCTTCCTCTTGCCCTTTAAGTCCTAGGGGTAATAACAGCTCCTCACTGTTCATAGTATCTCTATGTCTCACTAGCACCAGCAGGTCCTTTAATCTTACACACTCCACCATAAATGGTCCCCCATCAGGACGGCTGGGTGGCTCAGCAGTTGAGCATCTGCCTTCAGCTCAGGGTGTGATCCCATGGTCCCGGGATCGAGTCCCATATCTGGCTCCCTGTATGAAGCCTGCTTCTCCCTCTGCCTATGTCTATGCCTGCCTCTCTCTCTGTGTCTCTCATGAATAAATAAATAAAATCTTTTTTAAAAATAAAATAAAATAAATGGTCCCCCCTGCATTAAGCTCATCTTGGCTGAGTAGACCTTACTGAGTATGCCATCTATTTTCTGCCAAGACCCTGGCTTAAAGATATATACCACTTCCACAAATTCCATCCCACAGAATTCCAGAAGGTTCCCTATCCTGAGAAGAGAGATCACCTGATCTGTCTTTTCTAAGGAAAGTGGTCTGCCTTTTCTCAAATGCTTGACATATTCTCCATATCATGGAGTTTCCTAAGTTCAAGTTGCATTATTTTGTCTACCTAATAAAAATGAGGTTGAGCTGATTCCATTTTGTTTTACCTGTTCTTAGTTATATTCTTAGTCATCTTTCTTATAATTGCAAACCAAATTACACTGCTTCCTTTCCAATGAGGCATGTGCAACTCCCTTACCTTAAATACTTAATCCAGTTCCACAAGGAAGATAATTCTTGACACCAATTCAATCATCAGTTATTCCTCCAGTATTTCCCCCTTGGTGATAGGAACCACCATATCCCAAAGTGGTCATCCGCAAACTTTCACTTGCCCTGACATACATGTATCCATTAGACTAAGTGCTGTGGGACCTAATTCCTAAATATCTTTTTTCACATTCATCCATTTGCTCAAGCCCCACAGTTACCACCTTAATCAGGACTGGTTCCTTTTACACCTGGATTACCAAAACATCTCTAGTTTCTCCCTATTCTCTTTCATTCTCTTTACTTTTGTCAAACTGATCTTTGAGAAAACATAAATATGTTCATGTCACTTCCCTTCCAATGGTGCTCCTTTAGGATAAAATCCAAACTCCCTGTCCTGGGGTAGAAAGCCTCATGGAATCTGAGCAGTATCTCCCTTTTCAGCTTCATTTTTGGCCAACTCACTTTGTACAACCTTATTCATTGCTTTCATAATGGTTCCATATTCTTTCATGTCTCCATGCTCCTGGTTTTCCTGCTCCTTTGTCTAGTACTCTCTTGCTTTTGCTGACTAACTGCCCCTACTCAGCTCTCAGACTTATCTTAGGCATCATCCTTCCTATGAAGTTTTCTCATGAACCCCCTCGCCTCAAGTTGATTTAATAGCCTCTCTACATGATCCTTTAGCCCCCTCTACTTCACTTACTAGCACTTAGACTCCATGCAACACACTGGCAATCATTTATCTACATGTCTGTCGATGCCCACCACTATCTCTTTTAGGGTGAGAAACTGTTTCTTCCTTTTATCCATAGCACTTAGCACAAAGTATGGCATACAGTAGGATACTCAAGAGATGTGTCCTGAATGAGTGACTAGATGAATGAATGAGCTCATGAATGAAGTATATACTTGAATTCACTTACCTACATAAGGTCAATATCAGGACCCTGACCCTTGAAATGGCATGTAACTAATAAGACCAATTTTTGCTAGTTCTCCCCTTCCAGGTAGGGCTGTACCTAAACCACTTTGGAGTGATTAAGAATAGAAACAGATGAGCTGGCCTTTTGAGTCACAGGCTCTCCCTAATCCCTAAAGCTATAGTTATAGAACAATAGAGCTGGCCTGAATTAATTGGGGAGGGGGAGACAAATTCTGTCCCTGGGAGACACCAAGTTCTTCTACATTGTCTGTCAGCTTTGAGCACCGATGGGATGGAGGCCAGCCCTAAAAATATATCAGCCCTAGTTGAAATCAGAGCTGTGCTCCTTCATGTCTAATTCACTCCTGGTATGATGGAGGGAAAGGCATTTGATGAGCAATCTTAGAAACAGAAAGAGAAACTTATATCATGCAAGGAATGACTATAGGGACAAAAGGCTACTGTGAATTTCCTAGTCAATAAAAATGAACCCTAATAGAAATTTTAATAAGGTACCAGCAGAAACATCTTTGTCATCATCATTGTGAATTCATGTTTATTGAGTGTACAACAAATGCTAATCTCTGCTCAGAACACTGGATGAACGCCATTTCTGTATCTATAAGGGATTAGGGAATACTTGCCACTATTTTGATGCCAGTCACCCAGCCAGAACACAAAATGAACTCTTATGAATATTCTAAGCATAATGAGGAAGGGGTTTTAGATTCTATGCAACTATCCTTGATTAGTGTTTTCCCCATTGTGAGTCACCTTCTCCATAGGCTTCCCCACAACTGGAAAGGAAAAGAAGCAAGAGAAAATAGGAAGTTAAGGTATAGTCCTGAGAAGGTTGCAAAAATTTGAACAGTGGCATTCCATAGACGTTTGGATATGGCAATAAATACCAGGGGGAGGGCCATATACATGGAGTGTAGGAACCAGCCCTGTTCATCTCCTGGTCCTTCCCTGCACATGTGTTCCTACACAGCCTTTAAGTGATAGACAGGAGCTGTAGAACTCTGAAGATCTGCCTGATTGTGAAGTTACCTTTCAGGTGAGGATCTTCTCCTTATTTTGCATAGAGGAGCACTCTGGGACTTGAGGGCTAGTGGGTACTCACCAGCTAGGTAAACATTTAAGAGAATCATTGTTCTTGATGAATTTTGTAAATAGCCACTGACCTACTGGCTTATGGGAAGGTGGAAATGAATGGTGAGTTAAAAAGCATGCAAACAGGAGGCCACATTACTGGCCTCTTTTCAAGGCTCTCTTCCTTTCTCTTTCCCACCCTCTCCAATCTTCTGCCAAAACTCAAGGTTTGAGGCAGTGGTCAAGCTCCATGGCATAAGAATTGGTGTTCCTCATGATACTCTCTGCCAACATGACAGGCTTGGGGTTTCTTCCAGCAAAGCAAGAGAGCCAGGTACAGATCAACATGGCTGCAGCTGCTCCACCTCCAGCACAGTAATAGGCCCAGCCAAGCCGACAGGTACCTGTAGAAATAGGGACAGAGACATGAGGGTTGGGTTGTCTTCTCAGACATTCTCCTTGGGGTGTTAGGGTTAATGTGAAACTATGAAACTGAGTGCAACTGGGCTTCTTGTTTCTTCTTTTCCTTTTTTGCTAATGGCTGGTATTTGCTTTAGTAAGAAGTTATAAAATGTCATTTTGTTACAGTAGGAACCTGAGGGTGGTGTGGGTGGTAGTGGTGGTGGTACTGCTAATGAAGTTGATAAGAACAACTTGATCAAGTGTCAAGAACTATGCAAAACTCCTTAGACATACATCCCATTGATCATTACAGTAACTATATGAAATAGGCACTCTTTATTATCTCTGTTTTATGTAGGATGAGGTAACCTGAGGCACAGGTTAAGGCAATTGTGAAAGATCACACAGCAGTAGAGTCAGGATATAAACCCTGGCAAATCTCTACTCTAAAGCTCTACATTTTTCACCACACAGATGTACTGCAGTACAGGGTCTATTTCCAAAGAACCATTTTTTGTGCATCATCAGGAGATTTGACAGGCACAAAAATAAAAATCCCTTGCCCCTTGTTACATGCCTTTATCTTAACCTATCCCTTTCAGCATCTCCAGGGAAAAAATACGCATTGGAATCAAGGCAGAGCTTGTAAGGTGGTAGTTTCATTTTGAGCAAGTGAGTCACCTGCTCAAAAATATCCACTCTACCACCTGCCTTTCTATCAGAGGTAGATTCTGTCCTTTGAAATATTTGTGTTTTCTCAGAGAATATTCCATCCAAAAATGTCAATGCCCAAAGAAAGAAGGAGAGCCATTAATTTATAAGGGAACAGAGTAACAATGAATTGTTAAAATCAAGTGCTTAAGCAAACAAGACTCCAGAAATTGGAGTAGATGCCAGTAATGGAAAATTGCAGAGGGGCCCCAAGAAAAGAGGTAGGCAGTGACCTTCACCTACCTCACAGTCTTGCAGAAAGCTACTCCTGACTACAGTCAGTTGGAGATGTCAAGACTGATGTTGACAATTTACTTCCTAATAACCAATTGTTTCTGTTCACATGATGTTCAGTGAACCTTAATTTTCCTTCCTTTAATTGACTAGTTGGCATGTCATATAAAGAGTATAAGATGGCCCCAAGTTAGACTCCTTTGTTCCTCCTTTCAGGCCAGCCTAATTTACCCTCAATTTCTTATCTCGGAAATAGTGTTCCTACCACCACCAAATTCTTATTCATACTCTCTCTCCTGCCAGAAACAGCTTCTTTCCTCTTATTCACCAATTCATATCTTTCTCAGAACACTATCCAGTACTTTCAGGAAGCTTTCCCACATTGACGCCAGTGGGCTCAAGTCACCTCAACCAGGTAGCCCTCCAAGAGTTTGTTCATGCATCCCTTACGTGGGTGTACTGTTTGACAAATTAAGAGGAAAATTTACATATCATATATTTTTCATCTGCCTTTTACCCCCTTCCAGATTGTTGGCTCAACAGTGCAGATGTATTTGTCTCTTTCTTGATAATGCCTCCCATGCTCTGTTAACAGTGGGTGATCATTATGTATATTTTAGCCTAACAATACTCCAAAGATGGGTACACTTGAATTTTTAATCCTCAACATCCAAACCTATGGCTTAAATTTTTTATTAAAGTTATAAAACCAGCTATAGTACTATTCTATTTGTTCCTGGAATGTGCTACAGTCCTTACTACCATAAGGCCTATGCATATTCCATTGCCTAAAATGCTTACTGCATGTGCACATAAAAACAAATACTTCCCACCACTCTCTGCCTAGTCAATGTTCAGTCATTCGTCAAAGCTCAGCCCAATCATAAATCCTTAGCAAAGTTTTCCCTGACTTCCCTAAGTCAAATTCCTTCATCAGAGGTCTTCATTAGCATTGTGTATACTTCCTTCTATACTTGAATGAATGAGTGAATCCCTTATCCCTTGCCATGGCCAATGTGACAATTTTAGTTCTTTAGCAGAGATAGTACTCTACCAATAGATGGTGGCAGTCATATAACTTCTTGAAGTCCGATGGCCCTGTACAAAAAATACTAGTGAGAGCCAGACTATGGTAGATATGGAAACAATGCAATACTTAGACAGATGGAGTGAATTTGAAAGAGAACCCTTCTTAGAAAAAATAATTCAACTATCTACAAAGTGGCCTCAACATGAACAATAAAGCTGGGACTCTGAGAAGAGTCCACTGAAGAATATCATATTGAGGAAGTAGCCAATAAATTTGTACCTTCCCCCTACCTTGTCACACCTCCCCTTAGAATACACACATACTCACTAAAAGTAGGAGGTTTTACACAATGCTTTGGGTTTCACAAGGTGAAAATTCTAGAGATGGGCAAACCTTCAACTTCAGCCATCCTTAGGGAAGGCTGCAGGTTTTATTGTGCCCATTTCACAGACAGGAATGTGAGGCTTAGTTGACAGCCCTGGGAACTCTCTCAGAAGCAGGGAGGTAGAAGCAGGGATCCAGACCAAAGTCTCTACTATCAATCTGGTACTCTGCCCTCTACTGGTTTCCTCATCCCCTGAAAGCCATTTTTCTCTTCCAGGACCCTTGACCTGTAAGCCCTAAAGAGGAGGAATCTAAACTAATTTGTAATAGGTTCACCTGAGCTTCTCTCATAATCCCTCTAACCAAAATCTCCTGTGCTTACATGGTAGAGTAGACAGGAGCCAGCTCTGGGGTGGACCCAACTTCCTCTTCTCTGGCATGCTCCCAATGTAGTCTAGACAAGGCATCAGAAGTCTCATTCTTTCTTGAGTTGCTTGTCAGGTCATCCCTCCATTAGAGTAGCAGGGATATTTTTATTAGATACATGCACCCTGGGTTCAGGAAAATAGTTGTTTCTGTAAATGAAAGGAATAAATGCATAGCATGTGATTCCCCCAAAGCCCTAGGCAGGAAGAAAGCTGACAGAGTGGGCAGCTCCAGAGTGAAGAGCTAGCTAACAGGACTTGATTAACCTTTTAACAGTCAGGTCAGAGCCAGCACCAAAGTGCTCCCCTTGCCACAACAAATGCACTCAGACTTGCCTTTCACAGAGACTCCTGTTAGGCCACTGAACAGCACCTCAACTCTAAGATGCTCCATGTAGGTTGCCCAGGAGAAATAGAGTAAGTAGATCTTCTATCCAACCTTCTCCCAACAACCCTACCTGTTATCTGCCTGAGGAAATAGAGAGGTTATATCAGTAGCATTGCAAAAGGAGGGGGAAAAAGCAAACCTTTCAAGAACTATATATTCAAGTTGAGAGCTGCTGTCAATATTCACTTACTTCACAGAAAGCTTGGACATTTGTCCAATGGCCTATAAAGGAATTTGTGTTTTCTATGGAAGGGTGCAAAAAAGGAGCAGTGACAATGAACTATCACCCTTCACCTCCAATCACTCTTTACTGAAGTCCATGGACCATCACCAATTCCTAAATCCTACTCTCTGAAGCACCATTGATTATTCATCTAACGAACATTTGTTAAGAACATATTATGTGCCAGACACTTTGGATACACCATCCTATTTGATTCTCATGACAGCCACAATTATTATCATTAACAGATGAGAAGACAGAGTCTCAGAGAGACAAGTTACTCTGTCAACTTATAAGTGTCAGAGTTCAGATGTGAATGCCAGCACTGAAAGTCCATGGTCATCTATTTTAACCACGCCAGGAGAGTGGAGCCAAGGATACAAGTTACTGTGGTCTAAGATTTATGGGAAAGTATGCCTTCAACTAATCACTTCAGCTTTCTGTGTCTCAATTTCCTTTGCTTTAAGTGAAGCGAATTCTGCCAGACAGATTTTTAAAAGCCCCTTCCAACCTAAAATTTCCATTTTGCTATGAACATAATAAATGCTTTAAGAGACATATGATGGAAATACTATAGGAACATCTAAGAAAAGAAGAATTATTTGTGTCTGGGAGAATTCAGGCTCAGATAATGGTTTTGCAGGGAAGATAGCATTTCAACTTGACTTTAGCAGTGGGAAGTGGGCATTCTAGGCAGTGGGAGTGGTTGGTGTGAGCAAAGTTATATAAGTGAGAAAGTTGACCACATGTTTCAGAAACAGTACTCCATTCAGAGTTGCTTCAGAAAAGGAGCTATAGTTGGCAAATAATAAGCTGACTCTAGACCAGGAGGAGCCATGAAATCTGGCATCTTTCTCATGAGCAATGGGGAATCATGGAAATTTTCTGATCAGAGGATGACATGATAAAACAAGGTTTCTCAACCTTGGCACTATAGATATTTTGGCCCCCCAAAAAACCTTTGTTGTATGGGAGTGAGGTGAGGTGTGGTGGGGTGGGGAGGGTTGTCGTGTGTATTGTAGCACCCTGGCCTCTACCTACTAGATGCCTGCCCCTTATCCCTCCCCTCTGAGTTATGGAAACCAAAAATATCAACAAACATTGTCAAGTATTCCTGGAAGCAGGGGTGGAGTGAATTGCTTTCCATTAAGAATGACTGAGTTAGAAGTATAATTTGGGAAGATTAACCTACAATCTCTGTATAAAAGGGATTGGAGGCAGTTGTATACTCTAGGAAGAGACCACTGAACCAGAGGACAGAGTTGCTGGTACACATCCAACAATACATAAAATAGCCTCCCACAACAAAAAATGATCTAGCAAAAAATGTCAGTATTTTTGAGGTCAAGCAACCCTCATCTAGGTAAACATCAAATATTTACACTTTGAATTACCTCCAAAATGAATCTTGATGACTGAAAATTAGGCCAGCAGAATGGAATCTTCTTCCTTAAAAACAGCTGTGCATGGTTTCCTACTGACCTGGGAAGCTGACTGGAACTGGAGCATGGTTAGCTTTGAGAATTCTAGTATGCTAGCCCAGGGAAGCTGGGGAAGTTAAGGAGAGAGATCTCACAAGGTATTCAGGAGGAAGCACTGATTCCCTGGGAGTCAGGAGACAGGAGTCTGAAGAAATCTCTTAACCCCAAGGATTTCAGCTCTCTCAC